AATATTGTTCCAATTGTATTATACGATCGCGACATATGCGTACCGCGTGTAAATAGTTTATACGAGTCGTTACCATATTCTCTGTGGTACATCAGAATGCGTTCGCGATACACTTGGCTGGATTCGGTCACGTTACATTCGGGACAACATTAATTCAAGCGTTCTATTAAAGTGCACTTTACAAACCGTTGTTCCAAATGCGCGAAAGTTGCGAAATTGTTTGCCAAATTAATTCACCGGGCAAGTCGTTTGAGAAACCGCAAGTATGTTTCTTCAGCTAACGATAAATGGATTACTACACATACGTATTAAAAATTATTTAATTATTCAAAAATAATTTAAAAATTTTGATTAATAGAATAACATTCACGCACGCAAATTTTTTTAAATATATTTAGTAAATAAAATTTTTTTAAATTTTATTTAGTAGTAAATAAATATTTTATTTAGTAGTAAATAAATATTTTATTTAGTAGTAAATAAAATTTTTTTAAATTTTACTTACTAGAAATTTATTTAGTAAATAAAATTTTTTTTAAATTTTATTTACTAAATAAATTTCTCCTCAATTCATAATTATAATTAATAATTATTTTTATTTACTACTATATGTACCCAAATCGAAAGATAAATTGAAAGAAGAAAATTGTGTCACGTACGATATATCATCATGCAGCAAAAAAAGTTGCAAACTACGCCGAGCTGTATATCATTCTATGCGGAATCGTTACTTTTACAAATCCTCTTAAGTTTAAATGAATACGAGATAACGAAGCGAGATCAACAAAGCGAGATCCCTCTTTGAGCGCATCAAGATTGGAAATTGGTGTTTGCTCGTTAATAAGCATGCCTCCACTCTACCCCCGACAATTTTACGTCCTACCATTATCATCCCTTCATTATCGTTGTAACGACACGATGCCGGTTATCGTCGCAAATTGCGGAGGCGTGTTACACGTGCACGTGCATCGGATAAGCGAATGGGCCGATCGCGTCGTAAATTGTCGATGCCGATGATAGCACCGAAGGGGTGGAGGAGGGGAAGGGAGCCGACAACGGAACGCGCAATCTGCATAGCGGGAGACTGAGGTGGGCCTCGATAACGTGGAAATTGAATTCCGTCGGAAACGAAGAGACTCTGTCGCTCATCGGCCAACCTGCAACTCCTGTGCGACGCGATGAGCCGCTCAGAAGTTGCATGATTGCCGGCCAGCGTTGGGGATGGAACGTCCCAACGAGAAACCGGTTAGATTTTCACGGAGATAAAATTGTCTTTGTCTCTCGTAACCCTCTTGGCTCTCCCAGCGTTAATAAACGAGAGCTATATTAGTCCCGATCAAAGGGTTATCGCGAAACTTCACGAATATTGGATTCCCTCCGTTTAACGTTTCCGCTGCGATAATTCGTTAAACCGCAGAGTTGCGTTTAGATCGGCGATGGATCGTGCAATAATCCGTTAAACTCACGGCCGTGCAACGTATACAGTCTTGGTGGACCCGAGAAACAACACACGATGAAACTTTCGGTTATCCTTTATATTCCACGCTCGTTTCGTTCCAATTACTCGGGGTTCGAGAAGTAATGGCGCGCGCGCGCGCATAACGTCATGCACAAACTCTCGTAACGTAACAACTATCTGCATAAATTGTATTTGCACTTGCGCGCATAATGTCCTGAAATTCCACGCTCGTGCGAAGTTACCGTTGCACGCCGCGCGTTCGTCGCGTATTCCCGCAATCGTTCCCTCGCTCGCGTATGTACAAACGGAATATACATTACCTCTCTACGTATGCACGTGATGATGCAGCCGCGGCAGATTCGCATTTATGCGCAACCAGGTGTTGTGTATATCCCCGTGGAAAAGCTTACGTGTAACACGCCACATTTTGCAACGACCCGGGCATCATCTCGGCCGCACATTATGCCCTTTTAACAAACCACGTATCGTTACCGGTTCTACCACGCGTCGACAACGGTAAAAGAACGTGAAATAACATTTTTTTAATTCGCAGCAAAAATGTCCGTTCCCTGTTTTCTTTTTAGAGAGCTATTGAAAAGAGTTTTTTTAAGCAACTTTGTAATTCTCTGCTAAAAAGTGCGGTTTTATAACCCATATTCTATGCAAATTATTTAATTAATTATTTCCTGTATATGTCGCTTTTATTTATTAAATCAATTGAAGATTGATGATCCAAAATATATATTTATTCTATCGACTATACATATATCTATTCATTTATGTAAATAACCTAACCATTTTAATATTTATTACTGCCTAATGAGATATGTATTGTCACAGACGAATATATTAACACAATTAATTAACGCTTAGGAAACTTGATTTAAAAAAAAAAATTCGCACGAAAAAGAATAAAAGAAAAGAAGAATATTGTGTGCTAAATGATTACGCTTAATTTTCAATTTCGAAACAGACAGTTTTTTTAAACATTTTTTAATCGCAATCATATTTTATAATCCATTTATAAATTATTTTCTGTATATATACTGCATAAACATTTATTTCTCATCTATATTAAAAAGATACGCACACATATCTCTCTCAATATTTCATTTTAATCTATAAATTTGAAAAATCGCATACATATTAAAATGTGATTTCATAAAAATTAATTAAATTTATTTTTTAACAAGAAAAATTTCATCTATTAATTCATATACCGTCATAATGAACAATAAAATTTGAGACATTTGTTCGCATTCTAACTTTCGTGATTCTTATTATTGGTGCGAATATATTTCAAGCAACATTTTTAAAAGCAAAATTTTTAATAATTTGAATGAGTCATTATAACGCGAATTATAGTTTTTCGATTATGTGTCCTCTGGAAGCGTAAATTACATCTTCCGGGTTAACGAGACTTTGAGAGGCTAGGGAGACCAACCGTAGGCTTTCAGAGAGATCGCCTTTTATGTGCGGCAGCCGTTGACATCGTTCAAAAGTTTTCCCATCTCCATGTCATCGCGCGCATCCCGACAGTGAAGTTCTCAAAAGCTATTTTAATTAACGACTCGAGGACTCCTGGAGACTTTTTAATGCGGTCGAAAAGGACGCGAAACAATTTTTGAACTTTTACGAGCGATTATCGTGAAAAAATGCGTCAAGCAGGGGCTAAAAAGTTACACAATTATCCATGTTTTCTTAACTGGCTGCAGTTCGTTATTTTCGAATCACTTTAAGTAACCTGCTTGTTGTCGCTCTTTCTCGTGCAAAGTTTTGCATCAATAATAAGAAAATAGGAGTAAAACGCGAACAAATTGTCTCAAATTTTATTGTTCATTATGATGACATGTGAACTAATAAACGAAATGGGTCATTTATCTCTATCTACTTCCAATTTCACAATGACTTCGACGAATAATTCTTCTTTTATTTAACTTGCTCGACTGGAACAAATCTCCTTAGCAAAAGTTTATACGCTTTTTTTTTTATTTTTTCGCCGCCGCTTCTCGTAAAGAATAGCGTGACCTGTGAAAAATACACCGGCGACAATCGACTCGAGGTCGAAAAAGGGGAGAATATCTACACTATCCAGCATCCATCGTGAAAGAGGATGGGATTGTGAAAAATGGGTCGCTATCAGATCGGATTCCACACAAATTTCCATCTGATTTTTTTAGCCATTATCCAACCGACCGGCTTATAAAACTCGCACGAAGACCAATGAGTTGGTTTCTTTTGGGGTCACACGTATTTTATAGGAAAGGATCCACCGATCGATCATTCGGGCAATGCGTGAACAATGGAAAAATTCTTTGCTCCGGTCAAGAAAGTAAGATTATGTTCTTGGAATAAAGGGGATATATATCGAGATGAGTTTTCGAAACAACTGTTTGAAAAAGTACATTCCTATGAGTTTCCCTCTGCTTTTGTTTCTTTTTGTTTGTTTCTACTGAGATCTATTGAGATCACTACTAGTTCAAATGACTGAATGAATCTTGGAACTTGATAAATTAAAATAATTCGAAATAATATAATTTTACGAAATACTTTTATATATATATATATTTAACGCGTAGAGATAAATTGCAAAAAAATGGCAAAGTTTATTAAAAAAACTCTTAAAATATTTCAATTGTGCAATCATATTTAAATTATTATAAAACGAATAAAACGATTATATTATCAAACAGTTGTCTGATTTGTTGTTTGAATCTTTCATTTATATTAATATTTGAAAAGCCATGAATAATTATATGTATATTTAATAAGTCATCTATAGAGTAGATACTGTAAATTAAGAATTAAATATTCATTTATTTAAATTTGATTTTTATTTAATATAATTTTTGGTAAAATTAAACATTGAACACAGTTTGTTTGATAATTTAAACGACAAATAAAATACAGATAAATTGCTAAGCGTGCAAAAAATTAAAATGCAGCTTAATATACGTATCTCACAAGATTATATGTGTGATACCATGCATTTGAATCTCTGAAGCAAAAATGATCGCGTTTAAAGCAATCATTTTGATAAACGCCTCGTATAGTTCTCCGACAGTCAGTTGGCACGCTCGAGAGTATTCCCATGATGAAGCAACGAATTTGAATAACGACGAAGCGTAAGGGAAGCAGAGCTTCACCGAATTAATTCAAGACTTGGGTACGCCGTGCTTACGACATATGATTAATACATATACAATTTTGTGTTTCCCAGCATTAAATGCAACCGCGCAATAGTTAAAATACGTTTACGTATATTTTATGTCCTATCTAAAAATTCATTGCATTTAAACTTTCCTGATATCTGGTTGTAAACGTCGCATTATATGTACGCACGTCTTTTCGAATAAATCACAAGTGCAAAATATACGACGCGCAAGAATATGGAATGATGCGATTTGCAAGGCAAAAGAAATATTCACGCGAAGCACATTGATCGATTGATTTGACAGTTTCGACTTTATCGTCGAGGCGAACGAAACGGACGGCGGCAAAAACGCCAATCTAACGCAAACGCCGGAAAATAAGAGATTACCTTAGAACGGCGACAGAAGTGGTGACAGCAATATCGTTGAATTTCTACGACTCCTCGTATACGCGACAGCCCTCGACAGTTCGTACTCTCTTCTGATGAGCATCGTTGAGTCTGAAGATTAGAAAAATTCGTGTTCGTCATGACGGAAGATACGCCCCGATAAAAAAAAGTAGCACCCGAGATTATTAACGGATGAAGACACAGATGGAAAGAGAGAGATGCAAGAATCCACGCGACAGCGATTTCAAGAAAAGAGAAATACGAAATGATGCGTAAAAACATGATAGAGATCTACTATCCACGACTTCCCAAACATGACTGCCAGATAAACAACCTTTAAGTGAAGGTCTTGGCAAGCTAAACTGTGTTGTATTATCTTTTGTTTACAGTTTCGCGCTAAGAATAAAAACTAAATACAGACATTTTGAAAGGATTCCAGGTAACTGTAGATAATCTTAAGAATGTATTTTGATTTAAACTTTTGCTCTTATTTTCGTCAAACGTCCTCTTCGCTTATTCTCTCTTTCCTTTCTTTAACTCAAATGGAAACAAATGCCAACAAATTCTTCTTTTATTCTTTTTTTCTTTTATTGATTACTTTCAATTGTTTCCATTTATCGTTATAAAATTAACTTATTTTTATAAAACTTATAAAACTTATATATAAAACTTATTTTTCAAAAATATTTTTTAAAAAGCATTATGTATACGTATACATGCATATGTACATACACACACACATATATATTGCTTTATGATAGGATATATATATATATATATATATATATATGTATATATAATTATTTATTTATTTTTATCGAAAAATTTCTCTTTTAAATTGTTAAACTTACCAATTGTTAAAGTATACAATATAATATGCAATGCGAATATATACTCAAAAATAATATATGTTAACTTTTTTACATAGTATCTCCTAAAATTTGCATTCTCCATTATGAGATTTCTCCAATATTTTATCGCAGCGATTAAATACACACACGTGGGTATCGTAGTAAAATAATTTCATTTAAATATCACACACTGGTTACAGAGTCGCGGCTAATCCTCGTTTCCGAGCGAGTTTATGCGAATTAACGCGATAAACTGAATTATCATTTAGAGAGGCGCGCTTTTTCCCTGCTCAGGAAAAAAGTTTGCAGCTAGAAAGATATCGAGAGATTTAACGAACGAGAAAAGGGAGGAAATGGAGAAAAAGAAGATGCAATTTAGTCGGCAAAACCCCTAAGTCCAATGGACGAGTAACTACGGTCAATTAAGCATTTTCGACCCTCAAGCCAATTACAGGATTCGAATATTTCGAAACTCGGGACACAAACACTCACATGATATATCTAAATATAGCTAAATGTTCCGTCTGATCGATAACATGCGATAATATTATATAACGTTTCATATTGTGAAATTATTCGTCAAAGCGAGCAGCCATAAAATGACTATCATTATGTCACTAACACATGCAAGTAATTAATTAAATGAACCTTGCGAAAATTAATAATGACTTACACGTCGTTTGGAATCTGCTCCATGAGTCAATAGAATGAAAAATGAAAGGAATTCTCATTCTCATTAAAACGTCAGACGTTTTTCAAGAGTTGCGTGATTCGCTGCTACACCTTTATACTCTCAAACCAAACTCTTTTGATTAACGAAGGTTCCATGTCGGAAATGGCAAAGTGCTAGATTATATTTGAGATTAAACATGAAATTAATATCCCCCGAGACACATATAATACCTCTCACAAAGATATCGGCGCCGAAACTGACAGTTAACCGACAGCTGATCGATCGAAGGAGCTCCGAAAATAAAAAGTCGAAAACAGGACAGTATACGAACGAGACCAATCGATTTACATGGATATCGTGCACTGCATAGGCTACAATAATGATTCGAGTTTTAAATAAGCTTTTTATTGCGGCGTCGCAAAACCACGGAGGAATCACGAACACGAATCGTTTCGCTGAAAATATCTCCAACGCAAATCTTATTTGCATCGTTATAGAAATATTTCAGCAATCCATCGCGGGCATCGCCCTGTCAACTTAAAAAATAACGATCGGCTTGCGAGCTTGAGCTCCGTTAATATCATAATCATTGGTGATCTGTTTCGCTTAATTCTTGATATTCGACGAGAATCAATTTCTACGAGAGTAAAATAAAGAGTAACAAAAGTGATTTTATTTTCGTTCGGATAAAAATACGCCAGAAGTAATTCCCTCACGAAATTCGCTCGATGGCGAAAAACTTTTCGAATATTCTCTCCGACAAATAAAAGAGAAACCATTCTGATAATATTTTGATTAGATAATTTCTGATTAGATCATGTGATTTCTGGAGCAGTTGGAGCTCATCTCATACGAGAGAAGTTTGAGCTGCACTATTCGTAAAAGCTAATGGTATACTCGGGATGATGCAAGATTACCATATAAACCACAAAACTCTTCATGGTCTCTCCTAGTTCTATCGACCCCAAATGTTCGTCCTTCGCCCTTTACCCTTTGTCCCATTCTGCCATAACACATTCAGTTCAGCTGACGTAGAAAGCAAAGCGTTTTCCTCACGACACATGTACTTAATAACTATCGTCTGGTTAATTATTAAAATAAAATGTCAATAGAAGATTTTGTAAAATATTCTTAATCACCTATGCTTAAAAAAATACTAATATCTATTTGATATTGTCTAATTTTACAAACAACACATCAAATCACAGTAATATTTTCCTTTTAATAAAAAATGCACAAATAAAATTTTGATAAAGTACTCTTTATGAAGTTTACGAAACGAATCAGCAAGACGCGACATAATTACTATTCGTAGCTAATTTTCCTTTTCTATTTTGCCGATTTTTTTCTTCGATCACCATCGTAAAAAACGTCGAGTAATCCATTCGCTTAAATACAAAGATTCGAGGGGAAACTTTCATTATTCAAATAGCAACACACATCCGTCTTGAAATTGCCGTCTTATCGATTGTCTTTTGCGGTGTTATTCGTTTCCCTCGCTCAAATAAATTCAATCGACCGAATGAATCGTCCTGTATTGCATCGTTTTTTCTTTCAATTCATCATTTCTATGAGCGCGATACATTTTTATTTTTATGTTCAAAGTTAAAGTAGAAGACAACGTAATATTTTCAGCTCTTTCTCGTTCTTGGTTTGACACAACAAGGAACGATGAGCGTAGACCAGTCCAGATGCACACGGTACCGTATAAAAATTTGATCGCTTTCACGGGACAATCGAGTTTTTCAATGACACTATACCTCCGTACTGAATTTACCGAGAAAATCCGTCATACAATAAATCACACGGCAGTTGATACGAGCCTGGAGCACCGAGAACAATAATTCTCTTCCTTTCCCCTTCTCCCCTTTAAATTTCTTTCTCCGCGACTCTTTCCGTCGCGCTTTTTCTCACCGAACACTTTTCACGCGCGGAATAACTCAATCTTGCTATTTACGTCGTATGGTCAATAATTAATTACTTCTGCAAATCTCCTTTCTTGTTTCTGTTACAGTCACTGAAAAGGAGATTCGTCAATGGTAAGTTTAATTCTAAGGAAGAGAGACAATAAGTCATTATCAAAACTTGTACAAACTTGGACAGGATGATTGAAGATTTCGACGATAATTAAAAGAAAATAATTTATAACAGAATATTGTTAATGTAATTCTTTGTCAAATTAAAATAAAAAGTTATCAGAATTTATTACAAGCTATTAGAACACACACAAATAGATTCTCGAGAAATTATTTCATAATAATTAACGACGCAAAATATTGTATTTCTGTTTTATAGATAATTATTTATAATAGGACTACTTTATATGTGATTTAGGCACAAAGGATTTTTGAAAGATTGTCCCGATGGACTGCTAACAGAACAGGTATGTATACATACTGTTAACATATATTAATTACATTAACCTTCTCCTTCTCTTTTTTTCATTTACCAAAATTGTAAAACAGAAAAGATTAATATATGGAAATTTTTCAAATGAATATGAATAGTTGAATGTTTTACTCTATGGAAAGAGTATACATTAATCACACGCTACGTGACAACAACAGAGAAGGAAAGGGTTGATCACCCCAAATAATCGATAACGAGTGAAAAGCTCGAGATATGCACGAACCTCGCGTGATTTCAGGGGTTCATAAAGATCTACAAGCAGTTCTTCCCGCAGGGTGACCCGTCAAAGTTCGCCTCCCTTGTCTTCAGAGTCTTCGACGAGAACGCCGTGAGTTTCTTGTCACGTATCCACACATTGTAGCTTTCCACGAACTCTCACGCTTCTAAAATTTGCGATCGTCATGTCGGCGCTTGCGTGCAAAGGGCGATCACGCGATGTGCTTTCGACCACATCTTGCTCAAATTATTTTTCTCCCCCATCGCTGTCGTTGCCCTCGCAACATCTTTATTGCCGCGTTTAACTGCCGGTTCAGCATTTATTTAGTCTGACATTAGATAAGAATAGGTTGTTACATATAGCGAATTTACATAAAATCATGCATTGAACAAATTCTCACGCTAAAACAAACATTTAATCAAGTCGAATTGATCGCGATATTTAATCAGTGCTGGCTTGTTTTCGGAGTAATTCAATGAATATTTCTCGCCGCAAATCAATTATATCGGGGATATTGAGAAAAATATATATTTGAGACAGAAATTTCCCACAGATTTCTTTTACAAAACTACTCAACTTGCAAAGTCCCGAGAGAAGATAAAGATATTCGAGAGAGAGAAATTTATATACACAATATATCGATAGTTATTAGATTTAATTATAACTGCTAGTTTGTCTCTGAAAAGGACGATTGTCAATTAATTCGTGATTCTCGAATAGTTTGGAATTAATAGAAGAAAACATTTCGCGTGCAACAAAATAAGGAAATGTCGAATGTTGTTTCAGGATGGTACGATAGAGTTCGAGGAGTTCATAAGAGCTCTCTCAGTGACGTCACGCGGCAACCTGGACGAAAAGCTTCACTGTGAGTACCTCGTTCCTGATTCCCCTTGAAAAAACTTATCCACTTGAATTTGGGAAAATTCTCTCGTGAGCTATGTTGTTTGCCCACTCTACTTTGGATATATCACAAGCAATTGCCAAGATCCTCCTACGTATATTTCTCTATTTGATTTATTCAAGATAGTTAAGTCGAAAACTTAAGTCATCCAACTTTATTTGAAAAAAAAAAATCACCTTCTAACTTCTAGCTTCACGTGATTAAATTAAACTTGATAATTAAAAAGTAATTGCTTTTTACATTTTTTCAGAAAATTGATGAAATTTTTGATAAATATATTTGTAAAAATTAAATTAAATTACTTTTTCACTTGCTTATCAAATAATAATTTAATATTCATATTTTCTGCGAGTTATGTTTCGCGAAGAAAAGACATTCGAGATATACTGTGAAAAGAATTACACATAAAATTCGAGACGAACTATAAACTAGACGAACTATAAAAGATGATCACCGCAATGCGAGACGATAAACGAAACTCTCTCGATTGTCCTCTTCAAGAGAATAGCTATCGATGAACGATCGCAATCTGAACAGAAGTGAACAATGAAATGTATAGCTTCGTCAAAGTTATCACGATTGCAAACTAGATACCGTCGTGGAGAATACTTGCAAGCTCGCGAGAGAGAAAAATAAACACAAAACGGAGAGTTTTTCCTCTCAGAAGCGCCCTTTCGGTCATCTTCCTAAGAATTCAGTTGCAGAAGTCAATTGCGTTTCTCTTCCTTTCCTCGTCTCTTTTCAGGGGCCTTCCGTTTGTATGACGTGGACAACGATGGCTTCATTACGAGGGACGAGATGTACAATATAGTCGACGCGATATATCAGATGGTGGTAAGTGTATCCCTTTCAACGTACTTGGTCCGCGAGGAAACTTACGACATATGAAACATATTACGTTGTTCGCTTCTCCATTTTGTTGGTCTTCTTACCATCCACGTTCAATCTTTTCAAAAATAGTATTGACCCATCTCTAGATAATCACAAATTCTTGGAGAAGAAGTTGCTATTAAAAATCCAATAGTACAAACTTCGAAAGAAAAAATAATCTATTATTATTTTAATATTATACTATTTAATTGCTTGTTTTATTTATTTGATAGCTGTAAGTAAAATCGCTTACACAAGATTTATGTGTCTGCTTAAATCCGCGATTTGCTCGCTACAATCGTAATGACTCGCGTGCTCAATATCAAGTCAATATTTTATCCCAACGAGCGCGTTATGCATAACTAGTGGAAGTTATAATCCTCTGCGTAGCTTCCAACCGGTGCCCTGCAAGCGAGTTAGCGACACAAACTATAACGTTACTCGCCCTCGCTATTGCTCTTGACACAAGCGCGATGTATGCGGCTTCTTCGAAGTTACACAGTGTGACCTCTCATTATGCAACAGTCATTATAATCTTTCATCGGGTGACGTCTGCGTACTAACTCTTTAATTGTTTCATTCCGGATATCATCACGCGGCGAATGAATAGAAAATAATGTACCGGCGCTAATAATGAACGTGCGCTTCTCCCGGAAACAGGCATTACCTCCGTAATGCCATGTGCGCTAATTAAAGCATCGATACTAACAAGGTCGCCCACGCTCGTGATAGCGCACTTTCGTGCTAAACTTTCCGCGTTACTTCCACCGGGACGAAAAACTCCTATGGAATGAAATCCCCCGAAGGATCACACATATATTACGTTGACACTCTCTAGGCGTTGTTTTGCACGGATATTGCGCACCTGATGCACATTTTAGCGTAAAATTCGTTGGAGCGTGATCTCGAAAAGTCCATCGCGCGACAACGATTCTCCATTAATCACTTTGAAGTCTCGTTAATATTAATTTCAAAGAGAAATATATACAGTGACGTTATTATGTGTACATACCCGCGGGGGGAAAGGGGGGGGGGGTTCACGCATGGTAATCCATAAATATGCGGACCAACAAAGGCGCATGAACGAAAACTTTAATGATACGTCGACTTTGAAACACGATCGTACCGCGATTGATCTAAATGCAACCGATAAAACCGAATCACATTATCGGAAATTAGCGGATCGGCCGATTTCAATTAAAACTCGCGAGATCAAACGAATGTGTTAAAAGTCAATATCCCGCGTGGTGTTATAAGCCAACATGACGCTACCGGCAATAAATTCCCCGCCAATAAAATAATAATGGATAGTAAAACCTATTGCTCTCTCATATCATCGAAACGGCAATAAAGCTTCACGATAATAGGAATTAAATTCTCTGCATATTCATTTTTGCATTTTTAATAGAAAATTTGCAGATACTTTTTCTAAAATAATCTTACTAATTTCTCTTTTTAGTTTTAAAAATGCATTAATAGATTCATAATCTATAGTAAAGAAATATTTAAGCACGTTCGCCCTCTCTCTAGTAAGGATAACATGGCAATTGGAAGCCTCATTAAGTCCCGTCAATTAATTAAATTCCAAGGGAAGGATAATATTGGATGTTCCAGGGACAGCAACCGCAAGCCGAGGATGAGAACACCCCACAAAAGAGGGTCGACAAAATCTTCGACCAGATGGACAAGAACCACGACGACAAGCTCACCCTCGAAGAGTTTCGGGAGGGTAGCAAGGCCGATCCCAGGATCGTTCAGGCGTTATCCCTGGGCGGCGAGTAACCCTAATTTCCATCATAGGCGGCACGCAATCTTCGATATCGGAAGTCTCTACGCCGTCATCATTATCATAATTATCGGCGCGAACTGAGTGAACTGCTCGTCCCGATAATCGGCCGATGAAAAGCAACCCTGAGAAAAGGCAAGTCCACATCCGCGCGGTTTGGTATGCACGTATATAATAGAATAGAATAATTACGCGAGTGCAAAAAGCGTCTGAGATGTAGAGATTTGCGACTATTTTTGAAGAAATCTCTCGTCAAAGAATTATAATCTATCTCACTTTTTTCTACTTTCTCTATCTCTCTCTTTCTATCTGGCTCTCGGAGAAGATCGGTTCTCGTTCCCCGTTGGTGAATCGATCCCTCCATTTTCATTAACGATCCGATTTCGAGGAAATCCGAAATTCGGTGCTAATAAATAGATGTGTAGCATTCAAATAATCGTAGCTTTCAAGGAGACTGGACGTGACAAATTACACTGTTAATTAGAAAACGTACAGAATTTCTCGATATGAAGAAATTATTAGAGTACGAACGATGAAGATATATGAATCATGAGAGGAGAGTATTCTCATCGGGGCATTCTCTCGCCTCAAAAGCAGGTTCTTTTGTCGCGTAATTCCTCCTCTGCATTTTCCTTATTCCGTCGACAAAGTAACATCACGGTAATAAAATAACGAGTAAAATTCAAAAAAGATGCTCGACGAGCGCGACGCTCGAATATTAACGAAGGTTGCCGGCGTTATTTCCGATTATTGCAGCGTCTTTATATTAAGTAAAAAGTGGAAAAAAAACGGAAAAGGATAGCAGGAAAATTGCAGCGGGGATAAGCATTCAAATGCAGACACAACTGATCGTGCATTGTGTGGACGTTGCGTTGTGAGTACGAACAAAAATTCCGAAGTCACACAATGAGCACGTACGTATTCCAACAATACCGACAAAAGAATCAGGAGACGTGCAATTTTTACGTGCATTTTTATTTTTGACGATGAATAGCGCAACAACAACGAGAAAGTACAATTCGCCTTTATCCTTTTGTAATCTTCGTTTTTTTTACGCAACGCTCTTCTATTAAATTTCCTCGTCATTCAATCGTATAATCAATTCAATCAAGAGTATAAATATCGATATGCCGTTTGGAGACATTTATATAATACGAGTATTACTTTATATAAGATCACCTTAGAAGTGCTGTCGATTATTCATTTTTAAATGTCAAAAAATGATGTCGGGTAAAATATTAACGAGCGTTGCGTGCTACTAGTAAAATTGCACCAGCGATTTGATGCCCGGTCGCACCATTTGCGCGTGCAAGTGATTTCTTAACAAACTGCGGCGCCATCGCGAGAATATCGACTCACGTTGCGTAACGCGGTATTAGACGGCGTGGCAAAAATTCGGCGGTACCGAGACGGTGACTAAGCAAAGGAAGAAGATGGGTAATGAACAATCCACTCTTTCCGATATTAATGAGTGTTTTACGTCACTTACGAGAGACGAATCGTTCGACCGTACAATTTACCTGCTTACAGTGCAGCGTATCATCAATAGGATCTTTGCCGGATTAGAATGTGAAATCGAAGAAAAGCACGGGGAATATAATTAAAATAAATATGGAAGAAGAACGATATATGTTAGTCTTGAATCGCAAAAGAGTCCAGTTATGTTATTACATTAGTCGTGTATCGCATAATGTGCTCTGATAATAGGATATTTTACTAGAAAGTATACAAATAGAATTATAAAGAAAGCGAGGATAATGAAAAATAATGAATGAGATTATTAAATATGAGTACTACGTAATAACGTCGAATATTGACAGCAAAATTACATCTACTTCAGATCTCTTAAATCTATGTGCTTTAATTCATCGACACTCTTGATGTTCTACTTCCAAATTTCAACGATCTAATTTTCATTCAAGACTCAAGTAGAATAAAACTTGCGATCAATAAAGACAAGAGTATCGGGCGTCATTTGGAACAGATACTTTTACCTGGAATAAACTGATTAAAATTACATGAAAAACGATTCGAAACAAGACTGAAAGAACATGCGATAATCTATCTGTTTCTCGCATAATGACGATCAATTCATCATCATATATAATCATTATAATATAAGATCCGCTCCCATGAAACATTAAACTAGAGTCAAAGATAGGAAAGGCGGAAGAGACAGAAATATTAGATTGAAATAAAGCGAACGTCAAGAGTGATTAAATTAAATGAGGGAAAGACCGAACTTACGGGACGGATCTCTACATAATACGATTAAAAGAAGCGAAGGAGAAATAATTCATCGAAAATTCGAATCGATTGACACGATTGATTGTCTATAATCGCACGGTGTAGGAGACAATAAAGCGAGAGTGCAGGGAAAGCGGACAGCGATAATGACTTACGTTTAGTTAGTAGAGAACACCCACGCGATGTGACAGTATTGGTACATGGATTTATCAGAATTTCGGATCTCCTATTCTTCGATATAAAGAAGAGCGTCAGATGTTCGTCGGATAAGAGCGGGGAAAATCCAATGTGACAGAGCGAGAGCGCCAAGGACGATTAAAGGAAGTAGGCAGATAGGTGGAAGTAGGTATGGAAGAGAGACGCAGCCAGACGTCTCCCGGATCGATCCGTTATAACATTCTGCGTTCCACGAGATATAGTCGAATGAGTGCCAGGGCGAAGTTGCGCGAAGAGCAAAAAGAAAAATGTTGGAGATAATCGCGTGAGAAAGGAAGAAGGTAGAGGAAAGCGAAAAGCGAACATACGGTTAGCTATGCCGATGGCGTTTCTTACGGATGCGAGACCGAACGGGGATAAATTCCACGACAATAAGGACGGTCCGGATCATAAATCTTACACGGTTCATGACCTCTCGGTCAACTCTTTTAAAGAATAAACCGACGTTTACACGCGGGGGCAGATAAGAGGTCGTTGCCGAGGAAATTGGAAAAACATGTCGTGAAAGAGAGAAAGCAAACACGACGGACCGGTGGCGCACGAAAGATAACGGCAAGTTAAATAAGGTCCGAGAGAGGATCGCCGACGTCTTATGAAAAATACATAAGCGCCCAGTCTGGTGCCGTCATGCAATATGTAGCGCGTTGCTGTCAAAATTGCAAGATGCGCCTGGTTGTATTTCCGCGTGCAAAAACCAGGATTCGGCGAAGCTTTTTCCGAGACCACCGAGGTCTGCGAAGAAAGTTTCGGTTCTTATAATCAACGACGTAGTCTCCTTTTCAAGTTTCGCGTCGCGCGGAATCTGAGATGCGGCGATAATTAGAATTAGCAAAAACGAGAAATTCATTCGTTTCACCGGTAAACGAATAAAATAAATACGAATGTGCGCAATCGTTAACGAGCGAGATTAAAAATAAATTTATAACGTATGTTCCTGAGAGATCTTATTGCTGCGGAAAATTAACGCGTTTTGCCTTAGCAAAAAAAGAAAAAGTAGGTTTGCAAAGAAAAAATGAATAAAGAAAAAGAACCCTTCGAGAAGCTAAAATTCACGGTACCATTGAATTTTCAAAGCGGGATTCTATCTTTTTCTATCGCTGCACGTTCACTATTCTACGACTGGATGAATGTAAAGCGAGATGTGATATGAGTCAACTTATACAAGAATGAGTTTGTGACAGAGAGAAATGCCACATAACCGGCAACAAAAATTCACAAAAATATCTCTAGAGATTTAAATGCGACGCTACGAAGCATATGTTTATTGCCTCAAAAAACGAGCGCATATATATTTATTATAGGGCGACAAAAATTTTACGCATTCAATATAGTGCGTAAAAATAAGCTCGACATAATAAAACAATATTTGGTTTATACCAACAGACAAATATTAAATTTGCGAAATATATTCGGTAAATTTGAGAAATAAATCACCGCTTAGAATTTGACTTTTATCCCGTGTGATTTAAGAACCTTTATCCATTTCGCACACCAGGGGGGATCAGCCATATACGGAATAATAGAATAAAATCCCATGAATCTGCCCGACTTGTCGCTTTTTTGGACACTAAAAAATTAACGCAATGTTCGATAAGTTTTTCGTTCGTTTCAGGGCTCTCATTCTTTAGAGTTTTCGCAAAAAGCTACGTAGATCTGTACCGCGATCTGAGTAATCATTTCCAGAAGAGATGAGTGACTCGTCTAATATTGATATTGCGATAAATATTACTTCGTTTCGTGCGCAGCAAACTCTTTTTTATCTGACGAAATGAAACGAAAAAAGAAGCGAATATATTGAAATTCTTTGCATAACGGACACGTCGATGGAGCTTGCGCGACTCGCGCTTATCTGGTATTCTTCAGAACGCTCGACAAATTTTTGCCGTGCCATAAAAGCGCACACCGTCTATATTTCTGCAGTCTTTATCTCCGCGTGTCGTGATAATCATATTTTAGCTAATTTTTTGTCATCAAATTGATGACACTCGATATTAGAGGGAGTCCGTGTATTTCTCGCGCTTCTTTGTTTTTACTTAATTTTTTAGCTGTACTAAACTTGCCATCGCGTCGGGTCGCCATAAATTCAAGACGCGCGTGCTTTCGCCTTAACGTCGGTCCACCCCGACGGTTTATTCCCTTCTTTCCTCCCATCTCTTCTCGCGTTTCTCGCCTAAGTTTTCACGTGGCCGGAATTTCAGTAGCCGTTCGCGGATAAGTCTATTTCCGGAATAAAACTTGAACGATGGCCAAAGTGCCTTCAATTCTCCAGGCGACCGAAACTCATTTACCACGTAACGTATATTCGATGTTTTTCACGCTTTGCGGCCTTCTTATTCCATCGCTAATTTCGTCGGCCGACTACTAGTTGCAAATTTTTTCGCCACTCGAGATTTACAGCTGCCCGAAATTTGAACTATTATTTATTCCTTCCTTTATTTTTCACACGTTTCCATTCGTAAAACTCCAGGGCATTTTTCATCATCCCTATACCGAGCATATTTTTCTTTTCACGCTTACTTTACTCCTTCCTTCGCTTGTTTTATATTCGTTTCTTTATCGAGCGATGGCTTGCAAAATGTATAGAACGAACAACAATGCGGTTAGCGATTCGCGCAGCGAAATAAAATTGCAACGATAATAACAGAGTGGTGCAGGAAATTCCAGGATATAT